CCGTAAGGATTTTGTCTGGCATGAAGGAGAGCCACTTGTTACCTGGCTGCTCTGATGCTGGGGTAATGGAGCCCATGGTGTGGACTTAAGCGATAGAGAAGCCAAACAGCTGGGACTGTATTGACAGAGGTCTTGGAAGAGAAGCACATCCTTTCTCTCTCTGGAGGTGACTCCTGTTGAGTGTAAGGAGTAGGTATCCATTTAGAGATGATGTCATATACCACCCAAGCAAGTGGGCGACCGTTGAGAAAGGTATGAACTACCTGAGAGAAATAGCTGTGTGGGAGCTGATCTTCTCTGACCTGGAAAACCCACAGACACCGGTAGACCCAAATGAACTCAGGCTCACTGGGCCCATGTGGCGCAAATGGGTACTCAGCATGCCACCCTCATATGCCAACACACTGGCATTGTTTAGTTGGAAGGATGATGAGGCACCAACAGTGGGTGAAATAGTTGACCATCTGCGACAGTATGCCAATAATCTCACTGCCACCCCATGGGCTGATATCTCTACTGTTGAACAAACATTGATAAATCCTCGGAATTGCTTAGTAAAGTATTGGAAAGATTATCCCAGTTCAAGGATAGGTACCACTCTCTATGTGAACCAATGCATGTCTCAGCCATCAGGAGAAGGAGTTTTCCTGTAAGGCCTGCTCAAGAGAAATGGCACACCTCACCAAGTACTCTGTGGTTCTTCCTGCAGAACCATGGGGAAGACAGGAGAAGATGGGACAGAAAACCTACCTCAGTCTTACAGGCACATGTCAATGAGTTACAAGGTAAAATGACCACAAAAAGGGGCCCTGTGAGGAGAAGTGCTGCTCTAGTTTCCAGAGGGCAGCCCTGCAGACAGTATAGGTGGGCTTCAGATCCTAATTTCAGACATGTGAGTGATGGTGATGAGAGAGTACTCCACACAAGCTGCTCGCATGCAAATGTTAACGACAGACACTCTGTTCAAAATTAGAGGGGCCCTGCCTCCAGCCAGGGGGAGGACAGGGACAACTTTGTCTATTGGACTGTGCAGATTCAATGGCGTGGCACATTAGAACCACAGAAATATAAGGCTATCGTTGACACTGGTGCACAATGCACCTTGATGCCATCAAAGTACAAAGGAATGGACTCTATTTGTGTTTCTGGAGTGACAGGAGGATCGCAGGAACTGATGATAGTAGAAGCAAAGATGAGTCTGACTGGACACGAGTGGAAGAGGCACCCTGTTGTGACTGGCTCAGATGCCTCGTGTATTCTCGGTGTAGACTATCTCAAGAGAGGGTATTTCAAGGACACAAGAGGGTACCAATGGGCGTTTGGTGTAGTGGCAGTGGAGATGGAGAAAATTAAACCATTGTCTACCTTGCCTGGTTTATCAGATGACCCTTCTGTTGTTGAAGAACAGAGGGTGCCCATCGCCACTGCAGCAGTGCACTGGCAGCAATATCATACTGATAGAGACTCCCTGATCCCCATTCATGAGCTGATCTGTCAACTGGAAAACCAAGGTGTCATCAGCAAGGTACGCTCACCGTTTAACAGTCCCATATGGCCAGTGCAGAAGTCCAATGGAGTGTAGAGACTGACAGTGGACTATTGTGGCGTGAATGAAGTTACACCACCACTGAGTGCTGCTGTTGTCAGACATGTTAGAACTTCAGTACAAATTGGAGTCCAAGGCAGCCAAGTGGTACTCCACTATTGATATTGCCAATGCATTTTTCTCCATTCCTGTGGTGGCGGAGTGCAGGCTGCAGTTTGTTTTCACCTGGAGGGGTGTCCAATAGACCTGGAGTCAACTACCTCAGGGGTGGAAACACAGTCCTATGATTTGCTATGAACTGGTTCAGTCTGCCCTAGAAAAGGATGGAGCTCCTGAACTTTTGCAATAAATCAATGACATCGTTGTGTGAGGTGATACAGCAGAAGAAGTTTTTGAGAAAGGGGAGGATCTATCAGTTGAGCTGGTCCTGCCCACTCTGACCTTTTACATACGTAGAAGGGGATAAAGTCCCTGTGGTGTGTGAAAGGAATTTTTTGGGGGAAACTGTGGGTATTTCTTGCTTCAGGCAAAGGCAAACCCATTTGTGGGGTTGCTTTTGCTCAAGAATCTGGATATTCTTGGTGGCTTGTGATGAAGGATGGTGAAGTCCAATGCATACCTCAAGGGAATTTAACTTTAGGTGAGAACAGTCAGTTCTGAGCTGTATGATGTTCATTGTGGTGTAATACCAACAGTGTTCAATAAGTGTCTTTCGGGATAGCATAGTGGTGATGACTGGAGCTAGCCTCATTGAGTGACATCCAACAGCCTCCTTGAGTTGGACTTGCAACCTGTGGACATGAGCTGGCATGAACTTCATACCATCTTTCCTGCCCTGAGAGACTGCTATGATAGATGGAATCTGCAGTTCTGGACTGAATAGATTCGATGAACCTTTTGGAGAAATAACCCACGGACGGGGGACTAGTACCTGTCCGTATATATGTACTGAAAAAATGGGAAAGAATGTTAGTGATATGGGTATGACATAAGTGGTATAGGCTGAGGGGTGGAATGCTGTCCTGGTTTCACTGGGTTAGAATTGTAGGCCAGCCATGCAGTTTTGAGTCAGCCAGGGCAGCTGAGCTGAGTTAGCTACAGGTGTAGCCCATACCGTAATGTTATGGTCATTGTAAAGGGGGAAGGTTTGCTGAGGAAGGGGAGCTCCTGTGGAGTTCCTGCTGGGATTTCTCCTGCTGCTCTTCTGGCTTCTCCCTGCTGCTGAGGACTGCTCTCTGGTCAATTGTGACAACTGGATGTTCATTTGGCTGAATATAACTCTGTATATCTCTGCTGGTATTGGTGTCATTTTGTTAAAATCTGTTCTCGCTTCCCCCCGTGGGTCTGCTCTCTTTTTTCCGGGTTCCCCTTCCTGGCTGGTGAGGGGTTGTCGGGTGATAGAGCAACTTATAGTTTAGCCCTTGGTACAGACTGAATGTAGGCAGAGCGTTTACTGTTTTGCTTTCTGTTGTGAAATCCTAATGCTGATCTGTTTAGTGCGTAGCAGATATTCCTACCTTAAAACAGTATTGATGGTGGAAGTTAGGTTATACTTTAGGCTCCAGAGAGATGTAGAGACTCGAGATTTGGCAGGCAACATAAAAACTGTTGCATCTTGATTGTCAGACTCTTAAAACAGAATTTGAAGTATCTGTAAACCCTGTTATCTTCATTTTATGTGCCAATGATTTTTCTCGAGACATTACGCTAGAAGGAGAGTTAGCAGAAGGAATGGAGAACAGCCTGGAAGTGGGAGCAAAACCCCAGTTTCCAGAGTCCCAAAAGCTGCACCAAAAAGAAAATACTGTGATTATTGTCAAACTGAAAGCTGGTAAAAGACCTGGATGTTCCTTTTGGTGCTAGTGAAGTTGGTTATTAGCCTTACTGCTACTTCTTTTGGTTGCAGTTTGCAGTATATCAGGCTCTTGATTTTTAGGAGGTACTTTTGTGTTGTGGGTTTTGGTATCAGAAGCTGGAATTAGGGAATGCAGAAAAGAGAAGAATGCATTTTTAGTAAGATGGTTTTCCTTTTTCTTTGGGGAAAAGGGTGGAGTGTTTTCCTGCTTTGTATATCTTAAATGATCAGAAAGTTTGGTATCAGTTACACGTATGTTTGTAATCAGCTTTGTCATCATATTGAGTTGGCTATGCATGCTCCAGGAGAAGTGAGAGTCAAATTTGAAGAGACAGGGTCCTGTTCTTCCCTGTTGTAGTCGGATCAAAAGATGCATTGAGATGAATAATAAAGTTCAAATCAAGAAAAGACGTTATGATTCAGACAATATCCCTCAGGCTCTGCAAAATCCTGGAATAAGGTAGATCTTCAGTTTAACTAACAAAGAAACTACTCAATTAAAGATATCTTCATAATCAAATGTAACATGCCTTGTTGATTTGTTAGGCAGTTCTTGCAGAAAATGGGCCAGGGTTTGGGCCTCTGCTGGGTAAGATACTTTATGATATATTCAGGTCAGATACTTGTATTATGTGCTTTTTCCCTTTGGTTTGTAAGATGGCATTTCCCGTGTGCTGCTCAGATTATCTCGATGGGCATCTTATTCCCATGCTTATCCTTTCCTTATTCTGTGCCTGCACAGAGTCTGTTTGACTTCTGTTCAGAGGTTTTATTTGGGATATTTGTTGTTACCAACTAGAACGAGCAGCCTGTATTGGAGGACAGTACAGCTCATACTGGTTTATGAGGTAGAATTATCTAGCAACAGTATTTTCATGCTGAATGCTTTGTTACACACATTCCACTGACTTTTATGCTGTTAAATTCTCTGATCATGTATGTAAATCCCACCTTCAGGCATGGCCTTTAAAATTACATTAAGAATCCACCTTACTACTTATCACAAGTACTTTTCTTAATCATTTAAAGCAGAAGATAGATTTTTTTTTTTTAAAAGGTGAAGTCTCAGAGTAGTATTAATTATAATGCATACATATGCACACATGCACACAGTGGAATTGCAGTGTGTAAACAGAAACAAATAAATACAAAAGATCAAAGACTTAAAAAGTAAGGATATGTACATATAAAAGGACAGCTGGCAGCCAGCCCTGGATCAGACTTGCTGCATCTTCCTGGTACCAAGCTGTTAGTCCTATAGAAAGGAACCTATGAACCTGAGAAGCTCCACTGTTAAAATTCAAACTTTCTGATGCATCTTGCTGAGAATGACACTATGTTCTGTTGAACTGAGGCACTTATCTCCATTTTAGCCATTTTTTGGTTCTGTGCCAAGAGTCAGCAGTCACTAAGCACCTGATAAAAATCTGCAAGCAGGTTATCAGTTCCTTGGGCCCTGATGTGTTCCGCACTTCTGCTTTCACAGACAGGTGCAACCTCAGTGAGGGTGTAATCCTTCCCTTGCTTTACTGGCTTGTGCTGTCAGGTTTGCTGTGTGCTAGGCTGTCCTCGGTTTATTCTGTCTCTCTCTCTTCCAGGATGGCACACTCTCTGAATGAGTGGCTGTGGCAGCATGAGTTCTGGCTGCCCCCAGGAATCACCTGGGAGGACATGCAAGAGTCTGAAGACATCCGTTACCCTAAGCCTCATGATCTCCTGCTCAGTATCCCTTTTGCTTTAATCTTGGTTGTCATTCGATGTGCCTTTGAAAGGTAAGTTAGTTATTTAGTACTGTTTGGGGTTTTTTAGGGATAATGCTGTTAGTTTGGGTCCAAAAGCTTGCCAATGTTTGACTGAAGAGGTCCACAGAAACTCCAAGTCATAAAGTATGCTGAGGTACATTTTTCAGCTCTTTTCAGCCCTGCGTACTGGCTAAAGAAGTGTTTTGAATACAGAACACAAACCCTACCCTTAAAGGTCTGATTATAAGCAATGTAACTTCCCACATGTAAAACAGGTAGGCCCTAGATAAGGTTTGTGCTTGTGGTTTAGAAGGCAGACGCACTGTTTTGTGTTCTGTTGCACATTACTTGCTGTTTCTGGGTTGAGTGCAGCAGAAATCGTGTTTAGGCTACCCAAATACAGTTAAGTCTCCTTTATCTTGGGAGATGGGAATCTGGGGTTTTGCACCTGACAGACAAGCCTGAATAAGATGTGTTAGATTGGGCTGAGTCATCTGACCTCAGAATCAGCACCGCATAGTCACACAGATCTGTGCATTTCACTGACCACTGCTCTGGGTTCAGGAGTGTCATTTCCTTGGGAGTGCTATGTAGAGATACTTGTAGCTTCTTTCTGGCCAGAGCCATTTGAGCATTTTGCATATTACTCTTCAGCACAGAAAATTTGGGGGTTATGGCAAAGGCATAGCTAGAAATCCTGCAGCGTCACCAACTCAGCTTCATAAAGGTCTTGAGCTGGTACTGTTGCTTTATGCAGTTTAGTCAATAGTTAATGTAGTCTGCAACACAATGTGATTTGCTCTTGGATAACTGAGATTTACCATAGTGTCAGCCGTTATCAAGACTGCAGAGTAAGACTGCAGAATAAGTCCCTTTTCATGGTTTTGAATACTCTTCAAAGTGGTCTTCACTGGATTGAAAAATCCCTATTCCTAGTTGCTGATCGAAGACATAACATTTTGAAATAATTCAGTCAAATGTACAGTGGTTTTAAGCTTAGAAAGAGGGGGGGAAAAGACAATTTAAATGGTTTTGTCATCTTATTTAAAAATGTGGTGGCACAAGAAAACGGAAGCAGACCTCTGTAGGCTAGAAATTCTTCTTCAGATTCTCTGTGATACAAGGACAGCTTGGAAAAGTTTATATAAGTTGAAGCGATTCAGAGCTCTGCTGTGAGAATGTTTTTCATAATAATAATAAAATTATAGCCAGTATTTTTACATAAACACAAATGCATGAATGAATCTTCAAATATTCATTTTATGATGGTACCAAATTGGAATCCAAAACTCTTCTTTCTAAACAATAAATTTAGTGTGCATTCCATAAATTCCATAGATTTTTATCCTGGACTTTCCTGGGGACATAGGCATCTTGGTTACCTCCACTGATGTGGGAACCAAGGTACTGTAGGTAACTATTAAAATACAAGTGACTCACATCCTCCTTGCTGATCTGCAAGACATCCTTCAGGTAGGCAGTGTTAGTCAGTGACTTGGACGCATTTGCAGTGTGAAGCTGGGGATTAGCCCCCATGTCCTGCATTGACTGGGACTGTCCAGTTCTAGAACTGTCCAGTACAAGACACAAAACAGGAAGAAGAAGGAGCCAAACTTCTCAGTGGTACCCAGTGACAGGACAAGAGGCAATGGGCACAAACAGAAATGTGTGATACTCCATCTGAGCATAAGAAAATGCTTTTTTTACTGTGAGGGTGGTCAAACATTGGAACAGGTTCCCCAGAGGGAGATGGATTCTCCATCTGTGGAGACACTTGAAACCAGCTGGACACAGCCCTCCGCAGCCTGCTGCAGCTGACCCTGCTTGAGCAGCAGAGGTGGGCTGGATGATCTCCAGAGATCCCTTTCGGCATCGATTCTGTGCTTCTAGGACTCTGTCCCTTTATTCCCTTTCCTCCTGCCACACTGCTCCTAGTCAATCTAAGTGTCTTTTCCATCTGTTTTAAGATGCCGATGGCCAGGTAAAAATACTTTTTTCTTTCCCGTCAAAGTGCTGTCTCAGCTGGGAGAGTTTTCACTGGCCTGGTCCTACTTACTAATTTTAAAGCTGTTTTGATTCACAGTCTTCATTAAATAAAAACTTCTTGTCACACCCTTAAAAAAAGATAGTATCACAAGCTCATTTTACAGGTTCAGGAAACCTGTAATCATACTACTGTCTTACCTATGTAATTTACAAACCACTGTTCTGAGCTGTATTCTTGTTCGTCCTAGCTCTCTGCAGTGTTTTATTTCAGCATGACAATTTCTCATTCTTATTCATTACTGTTTCTTGTTGAGTTCATCCTGAAACTAGAGAAGAAAGCTTCCTCTAGTGAATGAGAGATATGAATCAAGCACTCTGTTGTTCCATTACCTTGTGTGCGGTGGTACTAGCCCTGTTTGAAATAATTTGCACAAAGTTTAAGAATTGAAGACTGGAAGGATGTGTGTGTTATTTCTCATTCTTCACCCTTGACTTTGTAGCTTTATAGATCTGGTCTGTGGGTCAAAATGAGTGTATATAAGTAGAATACAGGCTTGGGTTTAGTGGCTTTAGCTTGGCCTCTGGCAATTTATTCTACCCTCACCCATTACCTGCAACTGTGCATCAGGTGCGAAGCGTTTTTTTTTTCCTCTAGATATGCTCTGTGTTCCTGGTGGTGCCTGCTCTAGGATTTCAGAAATGCTGTAATGTGTTTGTGTCATTTATCCATGTCAGAACTCTGGGAAAATACTAAGAGGCAGGAGAAGCCCAGAGGATTTTCTGAAATGCCTCATTCAGCATCTGCATCAGCCACTGTGCTTGGGCCAATGATTCCGTGTTCTTGGTTTGGAGATTAAACTTGGGAAAGACCTCTGCTTCCTTGAGCATGCATTTTCCTCTCCTTGGCACATGCTAGCTAAGCTGGGAGAAACTGAAACTGTGACATCCTTTTAACGACCAGTTATTTTGTGGATTAGATGGTGGCTGTGAGAAGAGGACATGCGGTAGCTGGGTGGGGCCTGGGAGATCTGAGGAGGTTGTGGGTGTAGCCCTCGGGGAGAAGAAACAGGTCACACTTTGGTGAAGCAACTCTTCTGTGAGCCAGTTTGCTCTGGGGAAGGTGGGAAAAAGGGATATTCAGTGCTGGAGAGCAGAAAGCTTGTCACTGCTTCAGTGCTCCTAATCTTTGCCGCAATACTGAAGCAGGGGCAGGGGGAGGCAGGTAATGATGTCTTGACAGAAGAGAGGACCTAGAAGCTGGGAGCCTCTCCCCTTCCTTTGATGTTTCCAGATTGTACTTGTGAGTAGGAGATATGTCCTGCACCCGTAACTTGGAGCCCAAGTTTAAGTGCCTGTATACCTTAGCAGAACTTTTCCCCGGATATATGCCTGCAAGAAGGGATGTCGGCTTCTCTTCTGTTTCTATAATATTTGAGATCCTTTTCCGTAAAAATCAAATTATTGCAGTACTATGATTCTGAGAGAATCGCAGCTTCTGTTGCAAAGGGTTTCTTGCCTGTATGGTTAGGAAAATGTGGAATCTGAAATGCTTTGAGGGATAGTAAAGAAGAAAGTTGAAAAAAGAATTTACATACAATTTAATCGTCTGATTTTGGATTTGACCAGTGATTTTGGGATGTTGGGGAACTGAAAGCCAACGTCACTGAATTTGGATCCAAAGAGATTTTGATCGGAAAGATTAGATATCCTCATAGGAGCATTGTGACAGTGTGTGAGCCAGGTGTTGTACATTGAAAGAGGGGGATACTGTTGATCTGCAGGGAACAGGTACTCCAACTCAGAACCAGAAGAAAGATAGATGATGATGCCCTTTTCAAGTATTTTATTTTGAAATGTATCTTTCTGAAATTCATTTTGCACAGAGACTTTTGTTGTTCATCAGTAATCAGGAAGGATCTGAAAACAACTTCCTGTGAGGTCCCACAGGCAGGATTTTTGTGCAAAGATGTGGGACATGTAGCACTTAATTGAAAACTGTGAACTGACTTGACTCAGTTTGGACAGTAGCACTGTAGTGACTTGAGATCTTATATCAAACAGAACAGTCAGTTTAACTTTGATGTGAAGTATTCTCCTGTGAGCAAGAGAAGGTAGAGACTATTCCAGAAGCACAAGGGATAGCCCTCTGCCAAAGGAAAGCATGAGGCTAAAAGAGATTGTGCAGTTCGGAGAATGGAAATTCTGGCTGCTGCTGTCACTGGGTCTGCATTTCTTATTAGAAGATATTTGCTGAGTGGCAGCCTTATAAATTCAAAAACATTTGTGGGAGAAGAAGACCCCCAACCCCTCTGAAGTTAAATTATTTCTTGTATCTCATGCTAACTCTGAAAGCCTCTGCAGAAGGCATGTAGCCCACTTTTGCAGGGTGGGGGAGTATCAATTTATGCCGCTTAATGATTAAACCATTTAGTTTCAACTTCAGCGGGTTTTGCACAAGACAGTTTGTTTTTTGGTGATTGCTGAATAAAATGCTTTAGGGTGAACTTTCCCATGTAAGCAGTGAAGTGAGGGAAGCTCACTGATGGATGAAGAAGTAGGCTTGAAATGAGAATCATCTCACTGGCTGTACCTTGCCTCACCTAGCTATGGAGTGTAGTACGGTTTAGTCCTTAGGCTTTCTCCTCCTGTCTTCCAGAGAGCTGATAAACTGCAATGATGAGACCATACCTGCAACCAAGATGATGAATCTGTGATGTTGAAATCAGTACAAGCATCACCCTCTTGGGGTTGTGCTTGGACAAGATTTAACTGAAAACTGGGTCAGCATACATCCAACATGTACAAACATTCCTTAGGAAGAATTTCAGTCCTTGATTTCCCAATGATGTTCATAAAAGTAGGATTGGTCCCATAATTCATGGTTAAACTCAAAACCTCAACAAGAAAGTAATTGCAACTTTGGTTAATTACACCCTGTCTTCGTCAACTCCAACTGGCTTGTTTCTGTTATAGTAAGATTTAATGCCAAGACCATAACAAACCAGGAGGAAAGAGAGAGAAGACAGGGATTAAACAAAATTTAGAAATCGGTCAGGATAATTTAAATAGTTTTTCAGTAAAAAACTTGTTGGCTAGCTGCCCTGACACCTGGCAGAAACATTCTTTCCTTTTAATGCATCTGGAAAGTTTCAGGCCTTTTGGTTCCTGATGGGTACTGATAAGAAGCTGCAATAAGGTTGTTCTGCAACAACAGAACTTGATTACATCTTCCTCTTCAGAGAAGCTTGTGTTGAATGACCTACCTTTAAAAAAGATGAGTCCCACTTCAAGACACTGCTTAATATAAAAACCAAGACCTAGTGAAGATCTTGAGGTAAGCCTTTTCTCAGTTTCAGTGTAGTTACAGGTATCATTGAAATACCATGTCACTGTTCTTAGCGCGGGGCCTCTGGTCCAACATCACTGTGAACACCCTTGATATTAAACAAATCATAAGATGTAATTGTAAGAGCAATCAGAGCTTAAAAAAAAAAAATTCCCAGTGATGGCTGTATTCCTCTGCCGTGCAGCAGTCTGCCTATTGCAGCAATGCCAGGGTGCAGCTGAATTTCACTGAAACAAAACAACGCTTACACATAGCTTTTGCGATAACCATGTATCTTGTTGGAAAGTAGCTAGTAAGCACCCTTACCCCTTCTCTCATGGTAGAAATTGTGTCCTTTTTATTGGTTGTGGTACATCTTTGAACGTTCCTGCAGCCAGTGGTGCCAAAGGAATTTCCCGGAAATGTTGAAAAAGAGCGACTGATACACAGGCCAGTCAGCTGGCGGTGGAAATCAGCTGTTACATGAGTGAGCAAAATGTGGAACCATTCTGTATTTTATGCCTTCATGTAACAGAAGTTACCACATTCCTTAGGTAGGTGGTCTGTTTATAAAATTACTTTTGATACCTGCTAATTAAATTAAGAAATGGGTTCTTGAAAACAAAACTTCCAAAAGACCCTTCTGGAGGGATGCTTGATCTCGAATAGTTGCTAAACACATGCACATGTGGAGTATAGGCTGTAAGAGACCACAGGCAACCACACCATATAATCAGTCATAAATATATCCCATACTATTTTTAAGTGAAACATCTTTTAAACACCTACATAGTGAAGTAGCTTCCACAGCTTTTTTGCTGTGAAGTAAAATAAAAAAAAGAGGAAAAGAAAGAAATGTTGTTCCGTGTCTGAATCATTAGGGATAACTGATCAGGGGACCTGCCTGAACAGCATGAAGACTTACCAGGCAGAGCAGGCTTGGATCTCAGCACTCGCTTCCTCTGTGTGGTATTCACCAGCTCGTGACTACCCTCCACACCAATTTACAGTTGATAACTGAATAACAGTTCAGGGAAGCTGTTAGCACCTTAAGCAAAAAACTTTTACTCCAAAATGCAGAGATCAGGTTTTCCAGATATTTTGTGTGTTTGTTGTCAGCAACAGTGCTGAAAAGCGCTTCTAGGCAGACAGTCTACTCTTTCTTCTAATGAGACTAACTGCATGCCAGTGGCAGTGTGTAAAAGACAATGATTAATAAGGAACAACTAATTGTCCAGAAATTCAAAGAGAATGTGGTTAATTTGGGCCTTTTTTTGAACACTGATTTGCCAAGTTTCCTGTTTGCACAGTGTCTGTGCAGGACCTCACTTCACACCATTGATTGAGCCTGTTGCTGAGGAAGAGAATAGTGTAGTGGAGGAGTTGAATTGTTGAGCACAGCAATTGTATGCCCAGTTTTGTCACCTCTTGGTAACTTTCTTCTATTTATGCAGATTTTTTTATTTACATTGTTTCACAATGAAAGACTGAAGATGCACAGCTAGTGTAAGCATCCATTCCTTGTGACTAGGTTTCTAGTTGCTATATGCTTATTTTACAACTGATGTTTGACTTGCGTTAGGAAAAATGGAAGTAAGGTACTCCAGTAAAGATCAAGGGGCCTCCTGTT